AGGTCTTACCTACTCCAGTCTGTTGACTCTATTGGGAAGCAAAGTATTGATCAGAACCTTCTTGCTACTCTCCCACTCCAGAACTGTATGATGATATTCTACTTGCAAATCAACTCGTTAGTACCAATTAAAACAAATTCTGATTGTTCACATAGGCTAACCCACTTGAGTGCTAGAGGAAAGACCACATTTACCATATAGACCAGGAAAATGAATGGATTGAGTTATTCTGAAAGTGGAAATTCTACCAACTTTGCTGATATTGGTAAGAGGCATTTTCTGGTTCAGTGGTTGTGAATGATGAAAAGAAAAAACACAATCTGGTTTGGTGGTTGTTGTAAAGAATAAAAAGAAAGGACATGAAAGATGTTTATATATGGATCTCTTATTGGTGTGGCTGACAAATATATCTGTCATGTGCCTTATCTTGGCACAAAGCAATCCCTTTGTTTGTTCCTACTTTTCCAGCCCTATTATACCACTCCTTAATTGACAACTCTTTTGGAATAGCCCTCATAGATCTGTACTTGTAAAAAGTATAAAGGCACAGTACTCGTACTGTTAGGGGGGAGACAAGAGCATACATCAAAGATGACAACAATGGTTGTCATCAAGCTCTTGTTTATTTATTCTAAGTTTCTGTTTATGTTACACAGGCTGCTCACACAACACCCCAGGCTAGTGTAAACTTAAGCGCTGTACCTCCGTAGAGTTTTTATATATACTTGGTGAAAAGATATCTTATGTCGGCTTTTTAGGGGATATGGAACATCTGGTTGGGGAAGAAAAAACCTGACTCCAAGAGCCTCTTTATGGCCTCAAACTACCGCTTTGAGGCAGCTTGGAGCATCATCCTCATATCATAGGAGGTATTTTTCTCTTCCTTCGCCTTCTCCCTTCACATGTCGTGGGAGTCATGTGAGGCGACGGGATATGTATAATCCGGCACAGCACAGTACCGTGGGATGGCGCAGCTCTGCCCAAAATCAGCATTTGCAGCATGACATGAAACAAGGGCATTCGAATGCAGTGTAACAGAAGAATTCCCTCGTTAGCCCTCTCCGACGAAATAAGGTTTTTTCCCCGACTCGGTCTCATCACGCCTCATCCAATCCACCTGTCCGCCTCACCACCCTGCACCCCCACCCAAGGTAGAGGATTCCTCGTGTTTTCCCTGCACGCCCGCACCAACGGTGTTGTGTGCGGAAACCTTTTTTCTCTCTCTTTTCCTTTCGTGCTGCACTGCTGGCGAAGTACTGTACTGGTACTGCACTTGTCCCTACCGGTGACGCATACAGTGTCGAAGAGAACTGGCGTAAGAAGGGATGACAAAACATAAGCGCCGGGATGCGTTCAGTTTTATTGGATCCGTTGTTTGAACCGCACCCAAGCGGTCCTAGAGCATCGAGTGATCATTGATGACATGAAGTAAAAGCTGGTGGTGGTGGTGGTAGTGGTGGTTTTTTTTCTCTTTTCTTTTACCTGATGGGCACAAGAGGGTGGCTCGTTCAGGAGGGTCCATGATGGAATTCACTAGCAAAAGCCACGCATGGAGGGCTCGAGCGGTCCCCTGCGTTAGACAGGGGTAGATCCTTGAGCTCTTGAGGGTGTGCGGGCTTTGTGAGATGAGAAGTACCAGTGGTCTGGGACATCACGGAAGGACTGTTTGGTGATGCTAATGGAGTACCGGTAACTTGATTCGATTGATCGATTGGGGACACTCGTGGGAGGGGGGGTGATTATAGTGTGACCAAATGTTAAGGGCAATCTTAGCCGAGGCGCCTGGTGTGATTGGGTAGCGACGTTAGAAATAGCTTAAAGTAAGAACCTTCCGTTTCTGATTTTTTTTTTGGGCTGTGATAAGATCCTCCGAACAGAGGTTAGTGCATATTAGGGCATAGTATCATACTTTCCAGGAGCGTCGCTACTTGCGCCAGTGGTAGCTGAGCACATGTGCTGTACCCGGCACACACCGAAAGGGAATATCATGCTCCGTATGAGCAGCTTCGAAATATCAATATGCCCGTGAATAGAGCTCAGGAGTGGTTTCCTTGCGACCTCGCCGAAGAAGAGGGGAACGTGACATGGGAAACCGTGCTAGGGGAATCTGAGTTCATCTTATCCCTGCTGGGATTACCCATGGCACCAGTGGGAATCCCAAGGGTCAGCAACGGGAATCCCGGAGTCATGGCATGTGACTCCTGGAACATTGGGCGAGTGATTTCGTATGGATGTACGACAGGGTTATTCATGGTGGGTACTTTCTCCAAATACCGGTGTTTGCCACGGGGTCCCATGCTGGCTATTGGGGTTTGTTCCGACCATGGATGGTCCCCGTGAAGTACTTGAAACAGGAATGGGGCTGTCGTTCCGCAATTGATCTGAATTCATGATTGGACAGGGAAGTTGCGGCTCCCACTCCCCAGGGACTGCGGGACTCGGCTGAGTTGGGGTGCACGGGTACGCGAGCACTGCACTGCACTTTTACGGGCTGCACCGAGTACTCTAACCTTATTGTTCAGCTCGACTTGTGGGTTTCCCTTCGGCTGGCGCGGTACTATCAGTATTGGTGGTCCTGAAAAGACCTTGGCTAGTATCACTCCCTGAGTCACTGCGTCGAATATAGCAGTGCTACCGTAGTTCTTGCTTATCTGGTATTCCGGCAAGCTTCATCCTGTGCGAATATTCCGCATGATCTCAATTGGGAAGGGGAGATCGATAGCTTAGTCACTTGTTAGTAACGATCAGGGGAAACTTCTGAAATTGGGCTACCTTGAGTTTGCACCTGGAAACGATTCCTATACCGGTATGGTAATGCCGTTTAATATCACTTCAGAAGCCGGGAAAAGATGTGGCTACTGGACAATTTGTAACGATTTCGAGACTAGTTTGAGTTCTCCATATCCTAAACGAACCTCGTACCATGACTGTGATTTAGCAATGATGTGTGGTGGGAGTAGACGGTTGTTGCACATGAGCTCCGGTGGTTATTACCGTCTTCGACTGCTTTTACGGTGATGGGATCTTCCTTGAGAACATATCAACAGGGGCATATCAGATGCCAACCCTTTATTGTATAATCTGGTAGATTGATATTGGCGTCGGGAACAGTTCTGGTTTGGTATCTAGCCCGCACAAGGCTGACATGGTGCTGTTCAATAATCTCGGTTTTTTTTCGTGATAGCTGGTCTTGAGTTGAAACTGAAGGAGAGAATATAAGGAATAGCTAAACTTGGCGGTCGGATTCTGTGGTCCTAAGGGTGCTACGGTACTCCTGACAGCCTTATCGGAGGTATCACCGGCCCACGGGGTACTAGCACACCGCACACAATTCTAGCGAGGATTCGTCACTAAAGACATTCAGGGGTGCCCTGTGTCGCCAGGGGCGATGGACGGGATGTACGAGTACAGTGCACCTCGTTATCCAGGACGACCAAAATCCGAAGAAACTCTCCGGTACAACGAGTGATCCTGGGCGACGGGTCAAGACTTGGTGTGAATTTTTTTTTTTGAATTCGCAGAATTTCAGACGGGGCAGCGGGGAATCCGTGTTATCGGATTCCGGGAGAGCGAGGTTTGGCTGTACTCGAGCGTGTCCGTTTGTTCCGAGGAGCCTAGAGGGGGTCTCTTGAGTATTATGCTGTAATATTGCAATCGGGTCATCTATATCTAAGCAATTGTGGCTTCTGAGCCATAGCCTTCACACATATCAAGTGATTCCTGGAGGGCAGTCAGGAAAACATAGCAGATTTTGGGCTGGGCCATAGGTGCAGAGGCTCACCAAGCGTGCTACTGCAACCAGGATGGCAGCCAATCATAAGCATCGTCCATATCCAAGACAAATTCCATCAGGTAGCCTTGCCCCGGATATTGCAAGGCATTCTCTTGCAATAAGAGGCTAACTTTGTGGAAGGAATGATGGAGGCGAGATTACCGTATGCTATGGGGCTCCCCCGAGCAACTCCAGCGGATATCAAGTTTGGGAAATTTTTCGCTCCCGGGGCGCATCGGCCCTTTGACCGCGGTTTTTTTTTTGGCAGGTTGAAATCGCAGGAATGTGATATGTTGCTCTTCAAAAATTCTCTCAAGAATCCAGTTAGTTGGGGCTCACAGCTAAATACTGGGTATTCTCATGGGTGTTTCGGATGACCTGTTTCGTCAGCATTAGGAGATTCATTCTCTTAGGTTGATTTTCGGTCTGGCTGGGATCTATGCTTATGCAAGCGGCAAGCTTCGCTTATTCGGGGTATCGGTTGCCCAATTCCCGCTGTTCTCATTCCGGGGTCCGGGTACAGTGATTTATTCGGAAAAGCTCGCAGCCCTCTGATCTATTTCAACCAACAAGGCATGAGTAGATATGGCAGGCACCGGGGCGCAGACGATACCCAAGAACCACCGAATAGAATTGAGTTGAGAGCCTATCCTTCCTAGACAGGGTTTCTGAGGGGTCCCGTATCAGCCCGGCCGGCATCTGGCGCTGGAGCCCTAAACAGCGAGTGGGTGGGGTCCGTGATTTGCCGATGTTTTGTAGCAGGAAGCGAAACATGGGGGGTTTCCTGTACCGGTATCTAAAAAGATTAGTAGAAGTCAGGTTTATTCAGGGAATGCTGTGGTCACATTAGCGCTGAGGAGGGGGGGAAGGATAGCTAGGTAGGGGGAAGGGGAGGAGGAGGAGAGAGGGAGGGGGAGAAATAATAAAGAAGGAGGATCCAGACATACGGGTGGTAACCGACCCGGTCGGTGAGGTGCATCCATAGTTTGATCCTCAGGAACTAGCTGCTGTATTCGTCCAACTATTTACAGTAGTTCGCCAGGTATCCCACCCCTAAACTTAGCATCCAGCAATGCACCAGAGAGGGAAAAGTGATAAATCATGCGGAGACCTTGGCACACCTTTGATACTTCATCATGCGGTACCTCTCTTTCTAGCAAGACAAGTCTCATTAGGGTCATTGCTATGTCTTGACATTTCCAAATTCTGATCCATCATCATCTGAACATCCGTTGTGGTGTAATGGTTAGCATCTGTCGCTCTCACCGACAAGATCGGGGTTCAATTCCCCGCAACGGAAGCCTTCTTTTTGCTCCTTATACCCCCCCCGAGTTTTTGATAACCTGAAATGGAATCGTTGCTTCCTTCAGTACTCTTTCTCCCAAGAACCCTTTTGTAAATTAGTGGCTTGGCAATTTTAGAACCTCAACAGATTACAAGAATGCAAGCCCTGGGTATGATACTTGGTGTGTAAAGTCCTTGGGTGAATTCCGGCACTGTGCTGAAGGATTCGATATAGTAGAGGATGAACTGTGCAATAGTGGGAAAACACAGATGATGAGTAACTCCCTTTATCCTTGACACTTTTCATTGTAACGGATTCTAGAATCAATTTCCAACTATAGCATACCTCGGTCCGACCTAGGGGGTATATATATGCTTACACAGGGGGCTAACTTGTGGAGGATATACTGGATCATAGTGGAAGATGTGGCGGTTATTTCCTCCGGGTCGGCCATAAGAGCCTTATTTCGGGCGAGAGTGATGCAAACAAAATTAGTGCTGCATTTGCACCCATTGTATGCAATCACAACTCATCACTCGAGGGGCCTTGGTTGGGGTTGGAAATTGTGATTTTTGGAGTTTTCAACCGGCATCTTGGTTGAGTTATACAGAGGGGTTTTGGGCTTGCCGGCCTATCCGGTGCTCACACAGATGTGATCGGGGATTCGGATCGGTCTTTTGACTCTGACCTATTGTAAATTTGTGATCTCTTGACCCACCCCCGCGTTGGTCGACAGGGGACCCAATCGGTCGCGACCTCTGGTGCCATTATCACGGCGCCTAGAACCTTTTTGCCCGGCGCGTACTGTGGATATCACAGCTCAGATTGCTGTTCCGATGAGTGGTTCGGAGCTCCTCTGAGTTGGGCGTTCTGACCAGGATTTGGTGAAGAATCGGTTCAATCGTATTTCTGGCACCACGGGTGTTTATAGGCAATGCGCGATCCACTGTCGAAACTCCTTAGATTCAAAATAAGACAGCCTCAGAACTATGGACAATATAACTCATTCCTCGTGAGACTGTAGGCTGGTCGGGAACCGCAGAGCTTTTTTCAAATCTGGAATTTAGAGGTAACAATCATCCAGTAACGCTATTTATTCACGCGTAGGAGGAACTGATTAGGTATTACAAATTGTGGAGAAGTCAACGGACTATTTCGCAAGAGTGAGATAGGAGGATAACCGTGTATTGAGCGCATAGGGAGGATGGGTGATAGATGACCGAATCGGGATGAAAGACAAGAAAAGAGACAATCAAGCCAGGCAGTTATTGGTGTGGAGATGAAGGGGGTCGGTTTTTACTTTATTGGTCACCAAGGAATACCACTAGTAGGACCTCTGTTCATTGTTCATTTGTTTCTGCGTGCTCATTCACTACCGAGAACTCGTTCATAACCCTCATATATCATCGGTTATAGTCGATCGTTAGTGATGTCCGGTTGCGGCAGTAGCCTAGTTGTGTATGCGGTGAGCAGTAAACCTGGGAATGGGGGCTAGGACGAATATCGTACACCTAAGTGCATACCGGAAAGTATCGTACGCTCCGGGCGAGGGAACAAGAACCAGAGGAGGAGGAGGAGGGGGTGATGTTGATAAATATGAAGTATATCCTACTGCTGCTACGAAAAAGAGATAGCCGGGTGTGAAGGCGTTATTGGAGGGGGGGGGGAAAGGCTCTGCGCCGTTATGCCCGTTCTCCCAGCAAATGAACGAGCTCCTCTGCCCTTCTTGCCTTATGTGTTTGGGTAGACGTCCTCTGGTACTAATATCATAATATCACAACACCATCATAATATCATAGTATAATAATTCTAAGAATATATCGTGCCCCCCCCTGCTCCGGCCCTTCCATCCTTGTTAGGGTGAAAGCCCTCCTGTGCTGATAGCAGCTGCGCTACCCCCACGTGCCTCTTGATGGAAGACATTATGGCGGTGCTGCTATTAGACCATAGCAGCAGCCCAGCCCGTTACGGTTCATATGATACCTTCCCCTTCCAATAGCAACCTCTCCATTTCCTCATTTCCACCCCCATCCCCATTCCCGGCAGATGCTGAAAGTTGTGTTTTCCTCAAGTGGTGTGACATCTTTCAGTGCCAATAGCAATTTCATTACTCTATTATGTGCATTTCCGCAGCCTACGTCTCTAAGGGAGCAGTGTCTAGTAAAGGATCTCTAATCTGTCGGCGCTAATATCTCCCCTTCCCAATGACAGTTGTACTACATCATCGCCCCTCTTAGTAACCGGTATAGGCAGTGTAACGCCCATCCAATTCCTCTGGTTGGTGTCAGAACCTTCCATCTCTGCAATGCCCTCATAGGGTGGGACTTTCTGGAGATAGAAACACAATGTAGTCTGGGTGGGGGGGCTGTCATGTGAGATGGGCAGCAACGAGTCAAGGGGTGCTCTGGAAGGAATCGGGTAGATAAGTGGTTCTCATTCTGGCCAGGAAGTCTTAGATCAAGAGACTTCGTGTAACTTGAAAGCTTAGCTTGAGCATGAGTTTCCCAATATAGAGGAATAATTGGGAAAGGCGTCTCTCAGAACTCATCAATGCTTGTGGGGGCAATTTCCATTACCTATCGAGAATTCAGATATGTCAAACAGATTCCCGCAAGTGTTGTACGACCTCTGCCGAAGAGGTCAGACCGAGTGCAGGAGTATCCCTGGAGGGCAAAGTAGATCAAGCAAGTAGTTGATGCCTCCTTATCTAGTGACAATACCTCGGTAGCAGCTTGATAGTGTTCTTGCTGAAGGAGGATTGTCGTCATTGAGGTGTGCTACTCCGTCCTCAATCGCCAGTGCGTGATTGTTTGTTTCTTACTACCCTGCCCCCTTACCGGTTCCGGGGTTGCGCAGTACTCCTCCCCCAAATTCACGTCATCAGTCGTTGCACTGAGCTTTTGCAGCCTGGGATAGATTGTTGTTTTTTCGCAGGTTAGCCTCGGTATATAAAGGAGCCAGCAGAAATCTATATATAAATTATGTATGTAAGTGCATAACTTAACGTTGGGTGCTCGTTGCCGTTTCCCCTACACGTGTTTCCGAACTATTTTGGGGGGTAATTTTTGCGATATCTCCCTCTAGATAACTGTCCGTCTACTGGCGTTTGTGGCCTCATTATTGTTCGCAGTGGTGTATGTGATAACTTGTCACTGGGGGGGGGGGCTTATGGATAAGCCCGATGTTCCGCCGGCGAGACCTTCTTCAACCTCATCTCAGATATGTCTTCCTGTAAGGAATAATCGAGTGACGGGGGATTCTGCAAAATTTGACTTAGTGAATCCAACGTTTGAGCCGATTCTTTGCCATACATTCGTCTATGGATCGGATGCAGATGAATGTGTACACTAAAGATGAAATGGTTTATAGCTGTGATCACGATACCATTCTCGAGAGCGGAGATGGGAGGTGGGGGGAAGGGACGACAGTAGTTTAACTGGAAGATCTTGATATTGCAGGTGCCTGGCATAGGACTGCCTCACGACATGAAGCATAAAGCAAAGGTGTCTCAAGTGTCAAACAGAAAATTAACTATTCACTGGTGCACTGGTTCTGTCTTTCTCCTGCTTGTCTCTCTCACTTCTCCTGCTCTATACTCCGGGTACTGCTGCGATTTAAAGGAATGGTAGGAGAAACGCTGTGGCCGTTTAACAAACTGGGTCTCGTAAGAAAAACCTCCTCTTCGTTCTCCTCATCATCGTTGTTGTAATATTGAGTACGCAATACTCACCAGGGGGAACCCAAGGTAAACCTTCCAGCAACGTCTTTCGCACCAACCAGTCCCCACATATGCAGATGCGTATATTCCCCAAGACACTCCCCTCAGAATCCTTCAGGTTGCTGGAACAGGACCTCCAAGATTCCGGGGAGCTGCAGCCCCGAGAAAACCTACCAACTTTTTTTGGTCCCGGAAAGCGTTGGCTATTTTTTGGCGGAAACTTCATCCAATTTTTTAGCGACGTGTTTGAGCAGGGTGCCTAGCATGTTCGTAGGACGCTACTCCTCCCGTACGGCGAAGTCGAAGAAGTAGAAACAGGACACCGTAACGCCCCATCATTTGGCCCGGGATACAAAGTATTAAACGCCAAAGGGCTAGCACTACAGCTTACCAGAACGATGCCCTTTCTCCCTCCAATCACCGGGGTTGTCTCTCTTACTTGGTTTATATTTTTCCCGCCGCCTGGTCACCATAGCAAAACAGGGCTGCGTTACTTGATCCATCTCCCCCACTAACCTCGTACCAACTTACCGATTTCTTGGTCCCTAGAAGACAGTTCCTCACCTTATCGACCTGCCGACTTCAAACAGCCGGATGCGGTATCCAGGGCCCTAGGAGGACAAGGAGGCCAGGATGTTGGCCCCCTCATCGCCAATTGCAACATGGTTTGACAGATGGATAGGGTTCGCAGTATTATCGGAAGGGAGTGATTATAACTAAAAGGGTGGTATTGACTCAAAAACCTTGACATCCTCTGTTTTTCTCTGGTGGGAAAGGTATTGGAAATGTTGGGGGCGGATGAGTTGTAGGGCTGTTGATGAGGTTCCTCGGAGCTGAAGGTAGGCTGGGAGGGGACAGCCCTGTTAGAGCGGTGGCACTCAAGAACAGGTTCCAATTACCAGAACTTGTGAAACTAAAGTTCGTAGTCTTTGTACATCGTTGCCCATGGAACAGGGAGCAAACGATGGAACGGGTCAGCTACGAACCCATGGGGAGATCAAGCAAACTAGCGACTGGAAAAACATCCTGTTTTTTTTGGACGTCAATGAGAAGAGAGATATCTATCCTTAAGCTATTGAGATATGAGTCAGCGTCTTCTATAATTCTCTCTGAAGTTCTGTACGGAATCGCTCAATTTAGGTCCCCAAGACCTCAGAAAAGAATTCTAACTCTGGCGTATTATATATCCGATAAGCATGGGACGCCCCTTAGTCTTACGTTCCACAATACCTAGTCCATCCGCCCCCGGCAGGTTTTCCAACACCCATAAGATTGATATTCGTGACCAGTACCTCAT